CCCCCCTCCCCTCCTAATATAACTCCTCTCTCCAGTCACCTACTGTCATCTTCACTATTTCCTAGCGTCCTTATCATAAAACTTGCTTTTTATAGTACTTCATCATTCCCCGTGCCCCATCATTCAAAAGTGCATGAGTAATGTTTGTAATATATGAGAACTATACTTATGCATAATTGGTGGGTTGATATATTTTTCCCTTTCAGCTGTGACAAGCATTCGAATTGCCTCCCTGGCAATTCGAAAAAAATCAAAAACTGCACCATTTTCTCCGGACTTGTCTGCGACGGGTGCGAGGATGGAAATTATTTTGACCCTCTAGTGGAAGGGTGTATTAAATGCTCGCCTTCCTGTAGCATCCTTCAAGAAGAAATAAGATCTTGCACTACTGATCATGACCGGGAGTGCAAGACAAAAAGAACGGTCACATCCCCTGACTTGGGTAAGTTCCTTCATTTACCTTAATACACTAAACCGAACGATCCATTACGGGAGTGATAGTAGGCTCATTTAAGATATCCTTTCCACGGTCTGCCGGCTCTGTAACCAGATACTTTTCTTTGATATTGTTTGGTCCATGTCGCTGACTGATGTATCGGTAGCCGATCTCATCTGCTGAAAATAGGAAGTCAAACATGTAGATTAAAATAATGTTAATGGTTGGATGCCAGCACAGAGTCACGTCTCAAATTTAGCACGCTAAACTACTCTACCACTCCGGCCTTTCCTATCCCAACCCTTATCGTCACCCATCCAGTTACCGAGAGGAGCCTATGTGACAAGCGGGTGTTAAATAGGTTTGAGATCTAAATTTAAAGCAGGAATATATTACTATTACCATTACCTTGGTTCCAGAGGTTTTCTCTTTTCTGTTTCTCAATCAATTGAAGACGAAAGAAGGAAGACCTTAAGCCAATACTTTTTACCCTTTAGGTAATTCGCCGACGAGTCCTGAAACGGAGATTCCGCCCACTGGCCATGGTGGAAAGGTTCCAGCGTTGGCTGCCGAAGGAACTCCCCATACCTCACCACCAATTCCAGTGGTAAAAGATGTAAGGTTTTGGGGCGGTGTCTTTGGAGGAATCACCGGCATCTTAGTTATAGTAGCAATAGTTGCAGCCATTATTTGCAGAAAATCAAGTATTCAAAAGAGACTTGATGCTAAGCAAGGGCAGCCACTGATGTCATCTGCTAAACCCGGTGAGTTTTAATAGCCTGCCTCCCCTAATTTCTCGTCCATTCTCACTCCTACTAGGGACTAGGGGGTGGGGCACAGGCTCATGACTAGCGTGCTGAACCCTGGATTAAGTGGTCAAGTTGAAGTTGACGTTCGCGCCCTGGCTGGAGTCACTGTGCTATGTTATTCTCAGAATACCTCTCTCCCGCAACGGGGAAAAACCTGGTAACGGCAAATTCACTTCTTGGGGGTAGGGGGCGGGGGTAGCCCTGTCATGAACTAGCATCCCATCCAGGAAGGAGTAGCATTACCCGTCGCTTTATGCACCTTTCGCCTTTGTTCATTAACACGTATTTTGGGATGGTGGTTTTTCANCATTAGTGCAGAATGGACTGCTCTGGGGCGGAGTTATTTTGGGTATTGTTATTTTAGCTATAGCAATAGCTGTAGCGATAATAAGAAAGAAATCGAGTAACAAAATGAGACGTCATGCCACAGCTGGGAGAGAAGGGAGACCACTAATGACATCTTCTAAACCTGGTGAGTTTTAATACCCTGCCTCCACCCCCCCCCCCTTCCATTTAATGTCCACTCTCTCTCTCTCTGTCTCCCCTACAGGGGATGGGCGCATTGGGATAATGGCAAGCTTGCTGAACTCCCTATCACATAAGTTGTCTGAGTCTCTGTGTCACGTTCTTGTATGGGAAATGTTAGTCTCAGAATACCTCTCTCCTGCAAAGGGCAAAAACTGGTACGGACAAATTCACTTTCTTGGCGAAGGGTAACCCTGTCATGAACTATCATCCCATACAGTCGGGAGTAGCAGTACCCAGTCGCTTCATACATCTTTTTGCTTTTGTTCCTTATAACATATATTTTGGGATTTAGTGGGGTTTTCAGGTTTCATCACAGTTTTGGGCTTTTCAATAAAAGTTTACGACTTAAGTTTGCAGTTGCATGAACAGTTGGACATAAGTTGGTTTATTTTACCTTATTATTTACTTAATTTACTTATTTGCCACTTATTAAGGAGTGAAAAAATGCATTTTATACAAGTATCATATTACGGTTTTCTCTTAGAAATTAAGGAGGTTTTAACTGCTTTTTTCAATTTACTATCATTCCAGGCTTGGATCATGCCATTGGCAGTCTTAACATTGAGGGGAGAAGATTCATAACCCAGAGGCTCAATGGCAAATACCATGACGGTAAGCAATTCGTTTTACTTGTTATGATTTCACTTAGTTTGTTTTTATATTAATCGACGTTTTGCACTNAGTTGTCTGAGTCTCTGTGTCACGTTCTTGTATGGGAAATGTTAGTCTCAGAATACCTCTCTCCTGCAAAGGGCAAAAAGTGGTACGGACAGATTCACTTTCTTAGCGGGGGGTAACCCTGTCATGAACTATCATCCCATCCAGGGGGTAGTAGCAGTACCCAGTCGCTTTATACATCTTTTTGCTTTTGTTTCTTTTAACATATATTTTGGGATTCAGTGGGGGTTTTAGGTTTTATTGGAGTCTTGGCTATTCAATTAAAGTTTACGACTTAAGTTTGCAGTTGCATGAACAGTTGGTTTATTTTACCTTATTATTTACTTAAATTTACTTATTTGCCACTCATTAAGGAGTACACAAAAATGCATTTTATACAAGTATCATATTCCGGTTTTCTCTTAGAAATTAAGGAGTTTTGACTGCTTTTTTCAATTTACTATTATTCCAGGCTTGAATCATGCCATTAACAGTGTTAACATTGAGGGAAGACGATTCATAACCCAGAGGCTCAATGGCAAATACCATGACGGTAAGCAATTCGTTTTACTTGTTATGATTTCNAATTACGTTATAACTTAGATCTATTGTATGCTAAATTGAAACTGATTCTTATACACCATAAGTATTGTTTGGTAAAAACTTACTAGACCAGGATCCAAATAATAAGTGAAAATATTTTAAGTGAATGCGTACATAGGCAATTGGTTTTCTTTGGTTTCTGTCACCAGTTTTCGGTTTTGATAGCACACAAAACTCTTAAACGTTGTGGGTGTTCTTGACCTGCTTCAAGTTGGCTAATTTGGCTAAAACGGCGACGCAAATCAACAAACAGTTTATTGCAAAACAAAAACAAAAGCTCATCTTATCTATAGATTTTTTTTTTCTTTTTTTCATTTTTTCTATTTTTGATAGCTGATCGATTTTTCTCCCGCTGGCTTTGTATAGACTTAAGGAATATTTTTTAACTGTCTCGTTTTGATACAAAGAGCTATTTTGATACGTTTTTGTACTTAGATAACTGATTTTAGATTTTCAATTAAAAAAAGTTTTTGGTTTAGTTCAATTCTAAAACTGCTATACGAGGTTAGAAAGTTCATTAATAAGCAACGTCGACAGTGTAAGAAATATAATTACAGCTAATGATCGAGTATATCATCAAATGTAGAACCTTTAATTTTGTCTGAAAAATAGCAAGTATAATAGAGA